TAGTTCTCTGCAAAAACTAACATTCCAAATTCCAATTTGACCGGGAACAGTTGACATGAAGAACCACCTCGTGGATTGTCCACAGCTAAATCATTATTATTATTGTTATTATTATTAGTATTAGCATTAAATTCCTTTAATGACATTTTAAGGCAAACATCACTGAGAATAATTTGGATATATCAACAAAGTTGAAATGGTAAATTGGCCACCGTAATGATTACATAAGCTGACGTTTCGAGCGTTAGCCCTTCGTCGGAGCGAAGGGCTAACGCTCACTGAGAATAATTTGAGGGTGTATTATACGTGGAACTATGAGCGAAATTGCACTACAAAGCACCCAGACTGGCTGGTCTAAGTATGGTTTCACTTATGTTTTTAGGTACAAATGCACTGCTAAGAAGAATCGATCTTTGTTGCAAGATACTCGCTCCAATTGTAGTCGGTCAGGTAATGACGTACGTCTCTAAAATAGCGGGTGTGTGGTTTCTGGCGGGTTGGAATGTTGTGTCAGTTTTTGGAGAGTACTATCTTCTCTGGAAAGTTTTCAAAGCCGTAACCGCGTTGTCTCACAAAGTCATCGACACAACGAGACACAACTCTAACATTGAAGAGAACTCCTCAGTGGATATGCCCGCTGATGAATCTCACGGGTCTAATGAGCGCTTGGAATGGATGGAGAACGAAGACCAAGAAAGGGGCCAGAATGACGCTGAGGATTTGGTCCCTGCTGTTACTGTCAGACCTGTCCAAAGACCACGGAAACCAAGTGTCTATGCACGATTTAAGAAAAGAATCCTGACCTTTAAAACGGGCTGGCACATTTATTTTAGACAGAGTGTAGCCCGACCTGGGCTTGCCCTGGCCTCGTTGTATTTCACGGTGATTTCGTTTGGCGCCATAACGACTGGTTACGCTTACACGCAGTGTTTGTCTGAGTCAGTTCTGAGTCTAATACGAGGCATTGGTTCGTTGTTCGGCGTCTTGGCCACGTTTATTTTCCCCCGGCTTAGAAATGCCGTTGGCGTTGTTCGTTGCGGGTTGTTCTCCATGTCTCTTCAGTTTTCCTGCCTTCTGTTGTGTGTCGCTGCCGTCTTTGCACCTGGTTCGCCATTCTTCTTGTTGCCGAGAAATTCAGTGCAACCTTTGCTTCCTCAGTGTGAAGCAACTCAGCCGACAACGCCAACACCAACTCTTTCTCCCAGTTGCATGAATGAAGGGCCTAGGAATGTCTCGTTAAGCGTTCATCCTTCAAATTTGCAGTTTGTGAGAAGAGATGTTCCTAGCAGCAATATTACTTCAGCAACGGATTGGATGAATGGATCAAAAACACCAGCCATACCGTCCACTAAAGCCATAGGGCCATCCAAGACCACGCCCAGTGTGGTGCCTTCCAATTCAATTGTCTCTCCTTCTCCTTCCTCTTCACCTTCAAACCGCAACTGTAGTTTGAAGACAACAGCTTCGCCGCCGCCGGCCATAAGCAGCAGCTTTTCATATGTCTCCATCAGCTTGCTTTTAGCAGGGATCGTCTCATCCCGCCTTGGATTGTGGCTGTCTGATCTAACTATCGTCCAACTCACCCAAGAGGCTGTACCAGAACAAGAGAGAGGAATAGTGGGTGGGATGCAGAACTCTTTCAATTCAATCTTAAGCCTTCTCATGTACGGTTTAGTTATAGCTCTTCCCAAGCCCGAGACTTTCGGTTTATTGGCACTGATGTCTGTGGGCGCAGTTGGAATAGGTGGCTTACTGTATGCTTCTTTCGCGTACAAGATTCGTGGTCATTTGTTTCATTTTGAGAAAGTCGGTAAATTCTGCGGCGGGGCCGAAGCTCGTAGGGAGCCGGTGCCAATGCTGATTTCAAATGATGACCTCGATCTTGAGGATGATGAGGAGGAGGCCATGATTAGAGGAGTATTAAGCACTAGGAACGAGAATTTTAAGTATTAAAATATCCACTTACGCGAGGCAGTCACCTTGTTCCAGACAGGCTGCGTTCTTTTCGCCTAATAGTCCATTTGCTGGATCATAAGTGCTTTCAGTTTTTTTTCTTTCAGTTTGCTAGTAAGACGAGAGGACATACATGTGTTCTGACATCCTCGGAGACCCAGGGGCTGCGAGTCGATTTCAAGTTAGGGCGTGAAGAGCCCCTGGGGGCATTGTCTTACCATCCTCGGAGACCCAGGGGCTGTGGATCGATTTCAAGTTAGGGCATGAAAAGCCCCAGGGGACATTGTCTTACAAGACTAGTTCCAAACGTTCGCAGTCGCTCTGCCATCTGATTGGTGCCAGAAAATCTTTGTGTTTTTCTGCCCAATCAGAGTGAAGTGTGCTCTGGAGTCCTTTCGTGTGTTGTAACACGGACAAATACTATTAGCTCAGTTGCTCGCTATGCCTTGGGCCGTGCTACGGAGATTTGCGTGAGGTGAAAAGTTTCAGTCTCAGCACACAATGTAAGAGAAATCGATCAGATTGTCCACGAAAATCTTACCGGAAATTATACTGAATAGTTTCGCAGGTATCACCAGANCTCGACATACCTGCGTGGCCCGTGCGACGAAATAACTTCATGAGATTGGCAAAGTTAAGTCACAGCAAATTGTACAAAAAATCTAGAAAGATTTAAACTTACATCTTGTTTAACGGTTAAAGCGACTTATCAACGCCTGCAGCCATCTTGTTTTATACGAACCTCCCAAACTTTTCAACACGTTCTCTTGTGATACCTGCGAAAGTATTCAGTATAATTCCCGGTGAGATTTTTGTGGACAATCTGATCGATTTCTCTTACATTATGTGCTGAGACTGCTACTTTTCACATCGAGCAAATCTCCGTCGTACGGCCAAAACAAACATGGCGAGAAACTAAGCTTCTTGTATATGCCCGTGTTAAACACACGAAAGGACTCTAAAGCACACTTCACTCTGTTTGGGCAGAAAAACACAAAGATTTTCTGGCACCAATCAGATGCGAAAACGACTGCGACCGTTTGGAACTTGTCTTGTAAGACATGTCCCCAGGGTCTCTTCTGCCCTAACTTGAATTCGACTCACAGCCCCTGGGTCTCCGAGGATGGTCTACTGACTGCATTGCGAATAGATATTCAGTAATGGACGGAAACCTTTTTAACTTGGAGAAAGATAATTTGCTTGCACGTTATTTTTAAGCACAGTCAAAAACTCCTCAGGATCTCAGCACGTGTTATAGTTTCGTTGTCAGTTGAACAGTTTAAGCGCGGCTCAGTACATAACTATGACAAAGTGCTTTGTTTCCATTCGTGGGTGTTTTTCATGTATAACAGGCGGACGTATAAGGGAAAGATATTTACACAATAGCTTGTAATGAAATTTCTTTCTTGGTTATGATATTTAAAAACAACAGAAGAAAAATAAATTGTTTGTTTGGGGACAATCGGAATTAGATTTCAAGTACAAAGTACTACATTGCTAGGAACTTTATTTATCGATCTAAGAATTTGAATTTGTCATTTTGCACAAAACTATTTATTATTTTTTGTAGAAACTCCCAGTTACTAACATCTTGGATAATTTGTAGGAAAGAACATTTTGTAGCTCTTTTGTAGAAAATTAAAAGAGTAAATGTTGAAATTCTTAATCGCGAGATTGTCTTAGTTTAGGAGCTACTTATTGTAGAAAAGAATAATGGGAACTCATGCGTTTGGGCCCTAAAGTGGTGCGAAGTATAGCAAAACTAATGCAATTTCAAATTGCTTTTGAGCCTAGGCTGAAAATTTCTGCAACAAGTCAACAGGGAGATTGCTCTGCGACGGATAAATACTATTTAAAATCAAGGCAAGATAGATGACTAAATGGCGTTTTACTTCAAACAGAGCGACCAAACTACCGAATGTAACATTACTTCAAGAACTTCTCGTAATTTTACCTATAAAATGTATTAGAAAACATAAGATTCAAGATGCAAGATTAAACTTTGTTTCTTTTCGTACAAATCAGTCCGTTGAGTTTAGCTACTGTATTAGGTCGTGCGGTTGAAACCGACGGGAAATTGATCCTTACTGACGAGCAAATGTCTTGCCCCTAGGAAGGAAACAACAACACAATTTGATTAGTTTCTTCACGGAAGCATTGAAATCTGATTGGTTGTTTCGGTTAAGAATTCCTTTCATATTTCCTGGGAAAAGGATGCGAATTTTTCTACGTCTTGTCATCCTGTTAATTTTTTTTTCCACTACAGCGTTTTAATCCTACAGTATTAACGGCTATCGCGTTTTTTTCTGCCAAAAAAACCCTTGCTTACTGTTTACTATCAGGGAAACCCTCCAGGTGAACGTTGACTCGTTTAGATAACCAGCTTATGGACGATAAATAAAGAACTACACCGGTATTACGTACGTCACTGTCTTCATTGTTTTCTTCTCTGTTGCTTTTGGTTCCGGCTTTGCTCTGTTGAGCACTTTGATGAATTCTGCTGTTCTGGCTCTCATTCTCGAGTGAAGGTAAGCCTTTAAAACAAAAGAAAGTTCAGTTAAATCACGACTGCGTTTTTTTCGCTCACTAGTGATAATAGGGTCGTTTGGTATAGTTTTGGGGCATGCTCCCCAACAAAAAAATTGAAACCTAGAAATTGTTAACACCTGTATTGGGTAAGAAGTACCTTGGAGCATTTGATGTGATAATGCAAGTAATTCCTGAAGGTGTGAATAAGATCGATGGTGCCGTCTCGAGCATCAGGCTTTGTGTGACGTGGTTCAAGAACTACAAAGGTACAAGATGGTTATCTTTCAATATAATTATCACCTGCTTAAAACACCTAAGTTTGTGTTAAAACTACTTTTGATTAGGTGTTACATTGCAAACACCGGCCAATGGGTGAGTGAGATCAGCATTCTTTTTAAGTTGTGATTGTCATCTTGTTGATGGGATAAAAACTGGTTGAGTCTAAAAGCTTTAATCGTGATTCAGCACTTGTCTGTTTGCAGACCTTCTACCCTGTATTTTTACTTCCATCATCACCCAAAATAACATCTCCTTTGGGAGAGAAGGGGTTGGTTAGCCTTGTACTCTTCCCTCAAGTTAAGCTCCATTGCTCTCTCTCACATTTGGCGAGAGATATCCTTTGCCTTGGTATTGCTTCATAGGTTCGCATCTCTCGCCAACATATGAAAGCAGCATGGTCGAGTGGTCAGCGTGTCGGACTTGCAATCCGCCGCTCCCGGGTTCAAGTCCTGCCCTGGCCACTACTTAGATTTGTTTCACGGTAGCCCCGAGTTTCAAATCCTCGGCCATGCTTGTAATATAGCCAACTGGTTTGCCTTCGGCCAGTTGGGATTCTTAACAACGTTATTTTCAATTTGAATCATTTGTTTAAGTTGTTTCGTGGAAAACCTGT